GGCCAAAAAAAGGTTTCAGTTTTCGCAATAAAGGATCTCCCCGGCCGGATTCCAGGCCAGTTCAAGGTTAGATGACGTCGCAGTGGGAGCGAGTGGGAGGAGAGTAGGCCAGGGAAGGGCACGGCGGATGCGCAAAAGTCATCCTCCTAAACACGTTCTGCCTAGAGCCCTTCCTATACTACTTAAACGAGAAAAAGGAGCCTAAGCTATCTTCACTGTGGCCCAGTGCTCTATCGTTTCCCTACATGATGTTCGGGGATTTAAGTATACACATCTCACGGTTTGTGCTGTTAATGCAGACCACTACAACGACAGCAGTTGTTAACGATCAGGTTCAATTCCAGGTCTCGCCGTATATACTGATATGTATCAGTAATAAGAATAGGCACAATAGCCTTATCCCATGCGAACTGGATCAAAAGATTAAGAATATGGAGGGCACTACCAACGGCGGCTGGAAGATAGCAAATGGTGACCTCTTACAATGGCCAGTGGTGAAAACAATGGGGCTAGAAGGAACGTACACTTCTAAGAAGCATATTCCTAATCCACCCTTCCGCTACTATTATGCTAACACTATGGCGCTTGATCCAAATATCAATCACTACCTCCCACACGACACTGACGAAAGATCATATTTGGAGCCATTCACAAACTTCGCACCTCCAGCTCAAGATGATGTTTTCCTTGCCCTAACGATGCCGGATGTCGGTGCCCTCGGAGAATCCTCTAATAAGACCAATGTCTACGGCAAATGCCTCATAGAACTGTCGTTGGGCGTTACGTTCATGACTAAGCCTGTCGGTCACGAACACCTGGAGAAGGCTATACCTCTAATTAAAGCAGATCTGTCTTCAATTAACCAATATTCATACTCGTGTTAATGCATATTGATGTTTTCACTAAAAATACCTTCTTTATGCTATGGGGTCGGAAGAGGGGAAAAAGTCCTAGAAGTAAACCACCTCTCTAAACCCATACGCGCGGTACTCACCTCTCTGAACATTTAGGTTTTCACCTCTTCCGCTTCCGGGGGGGTGGGGTGCGTGCGTCACCGTCAGCGCTGGTGCGTGCGTGTGCTCTACGCTGATTGGTTCCGACGGCCGGCCGTCGCGACTGTATGCCGGGCAATTTTGTCAGTTCCTTTGTCAGCTTACGTGATGCTGTTTGTAGGGGAAGGAGCAGCGAGTGCACAAGTGACACTCGTTTGTGTGAATATGACTGTGTTTAGTGCTCTTCGTGTGACGGATCGAACCGTATGCATGTGTTGTTATCAGCAGAAGAAGGAGAAGAAGAAGTTTCTTGGCATGCGCGTTGATTGATGAGTTGCGGCGAGAGAGATTGGTTCGGTTTTAATCCCGTTCACATTTTCTTTTATACGCTGGCAAGCATTAGGGTGTGTTTGTTTGTTTATTTATTCATTTACACACTTTTGGCCAGTACGGTTGTCTGGCTACTTGGCTAGTAAGGGTTTAGGTGGACATACGGGCGGCCAGGCAGGCATGCAGTGGTTGGGAAATGTGCTTCGTTATGGTTCTTTATTGACCTACAGGCCTGGCTGTTCATCTCTCCGTCTACCGACCCACCCACCCACCCGTCCGTCTCTCGGTCTCCTTGTCTAACGCACGACCTCCCTAGCCCTTCTCCGCGTCTCTGTTTCACTCCAACTGCGGCGTGAGCTGTGACCCTGGAATGTATGCGCCGTCCTGCCTCAATCTTCTCCGGGCTGCCCCATGAGCCACAACCACTGCCCTCATCCGCATCCTACACAGACACTGTGAGTCGGCTGTACATAGGTTGATGACATTAAAGCACTCTGCTTCTCGTTATCCAAGTCCGCCTCTCTGTTGTTGTTGGGTTATTGGGGTTGGGAAGGCGGGCTAATGCAACAGTCTCGCGTCAACTTATTGGCAGTCTACGTCAGTAAGTGACACTCATGTCACATTCTTCACCCTGAGCCTCAGTACTGTGGTACCTAGCAACGCGTCCGACGATGGTGCGGCCCTTGTAGCGCTACCTCATCTAGGCGATCACAGGCGCGTCCCCTAAAATAGGGGCGGCTTCGCTTCCCCCTGCCACCAATGCAGGGCTACGAGGCTACTCTGTAGACGAAAGAAGACATTATGCTCGGGCGGCACATGTATTGATGCATACATGGATGGATGGATGAATGGATGGGTGGGTGGGTGTAGAAGCACAGAGGGAGGAATGGCAAAGCAGCACTGTGTTATGCCAAAGTCGCGTACAACATCAAATTCCTGCAAGTCACTGGAAAAACATGTCCATGGCCATGTCCACTCAGCAAAGTTTCTCACCGACGAAGACCCAAGGCGGCCGCCTCTCTTCTGAAACTGAGTTATACCGACACCGCGTCACAGTTGGGTGCGCTGACTGGCTTCATTCGTGCTCTTTTCAGCACCATCCGCAGTAAATGGACGGGGCGCCTCTGACAGAGTCCCTGTCTGCATCACGCCACAAGTCTAAAATCTAATGGCATGATCGTACTAATAAAAATGGCCTCACTGGATGGTTAAGAGCTAAAACATGATCTTGCTACAATAATATCATGCCCGCTAGTGACAGTTTTGACCCTTTCTGCCATATCCATCTGGTCCCCTTGCTTGACAAGTTCATCCCTTTCACTGTGGGTTCGCCAGCAGATGACAAGAACCTCTCGTACACAGAAGGCATGTTGGCACCATACTTCGAGAATTTCTTTAATGGTTCCTAATGGGCTCGCCCAAAAATATGGTTCTCACTGCAGCATCAGCTCTTTTTGCCAGTTCCGGTCTGCCAGAGAAGACATCTACTTCGTCATGTCTGTCCCTCATTTCGTGCAGCACTGCGCCGTAAAAATCGTGCTGTATCAAATCCTCTTAATATTGTGCCACCAATTGGTATATCACCTTCATTGTTTTTAACCAAGGCAGGGACCGATGATAATCCATTTTCACTATGAACTCCCTCATTAAAAGACAATATCTGAAACGTCAAAATGTTTTGATAGTGGTGAACAATCCGGAGTAGGTTCCACATTAATGTAGCATTGCTTTGTTACTTTTGGAACTTGAGTGGTGACGATGTATTTTCTGCCATCTTTGTCCACATAAAAAGTGCACCGCTCAAGGCTGCACCAGTATAAATGGTAAAGCAAGTATTCATAATTTAATATGGCTAAAATGCATTATCGTGTTCTTTCTTACAACCCAAATTCTTCTTTGTCTGCTTTTTCACCAGTGTACGCAGAAGGCTTGTGATCTCGTCAGTAGAGCCTGCCAAGCAGGTAACGACGGAGCTCTGTCTGATTAACTGGAGTTAGTCAGCTCCTCCTTACCCTTCAAAAATTGCCACCCTGTCCGACAAGGCAGTTTTTGGGTTTTGGGGTTTCGAATAAAATCTACGTCTTGTTAGCTGCCCACCCCAACTTTAAGATTGACATTTACCCACAAACATTCCTTACAAAGTCAGTGTTATCCTAGTATATTGTGCAATGCTTTAGAAATAATCCGATTTGTGCCGTTCGCGTAAAGCATTGGAAATTCAACGCTGCATTACAGAGTCCAAAAAGAACTGCCTGGAATCCATTAAGCCCGTTTAACAATGCACAAGCTGTCTTCTCTCTGTCTGTTGTTGTCACTTCTAATTGCCAGAATTCAAGTCCAAATCTAACGTGGAGAATCACTATGACAAGTCGAGAGCCTGACAAATCGTTTACGTAGAGTAGTAGGGAGACAATACACTTTGGTACTGCGTTCTGCTTTTCGCAGTCTATACACAGTCACGGACTTGCATCCTTCTTCACCACTGCATTTGGTGTTGCTCACGGTGACTTTGAAGGATATGTAACCTCGTCTCTGAGCATTTCTCCGCCACGAAGGTTCACTTCCAGCAGAAGAGGTGGTATGCGTCTGTGTCACTTTTAGATCGGTCAGGAGTCGACAGCTTCTATCGTATTATTTCAAATCCATGTTATACCCAGCCTAACGCCTTGCTATGAGAATGTACTCGCATATTTAACCGTTGGTTTCCAAGGTTCTCTCATCTTGTTGACTGTAAGATGACTAAGCCGAGTGCAGAGGCCATCTAGGCTGATTATAGATATACCTGCAGCTTCGAATGAGGCGATACAAATATTGTCGAAGTCTGCCCTTGGTAGGGAAAGGATTGTCGAGGCTTCAGTTTCTTGGTGAGTGGGAAAGACGTCTCTCGCAATATTCCAAACCGCTTTGGTGCTGCCTAGGAAATCGTCTCCAAGACTTATTTCTTGAGGCAATTCTACAGATGTGAGGTATTTAACTACCCAATTTATCTAGCCTATGATGTTATAACACTGTCACTCTTCTTGGATGGATGGCTGAATAGCTGTCCGTTTTTAGTTAAGTTTCACTGGCGAGATACTGGTTTAATGTAAATAGCAGTGCTGGTTTCTCCAAATCCTAATGACTAGGCCCATGATTTGTCCCCACCTTCCCTGCTGCTTTCAATCACTCTCCATCCCCTTCACGTCCTTCTTCACTCTCTACTTTTACGTCTCTTGGCGATTGTTTGAAATTGCAAGACTACTCGTTCCCGTCACATTTGTTCCTTCTTCTTCCTGCCATTTAGCGTTCGTATCCCTCTGGATGTGAAGGGGATGGATTACAGAGTGGTTTGACATAGCCAAGGTCTTGACGAGGATAAAGAAGACGAAAATTGCCCAATCAAAATACTAGTGACCTAATAAACCAACTAACCAATAATCCATTTAATTACTAAACGAGTTCCTACCTGGCCTGGAGTGTAGCTGGATATTTGGTCGACTGGAAGAGTTAGGAGGGGGAGAAGAGATGAATACACGTGCATATGCGCTTACTCGTAAAATGCTAACCTACGCACAATGAACTTTGACCTACGTGTAACAACTAATGGACATGGTATGAGTTCTTACCCATTTCTGTGGTGGGCCATGTAGCCTGACAGTCTAAGTGGCAAAATATGAATCTGAACAATGGGGCAAGCAAATAGAGGGGAGGAGCTCGATGGACAATCAACCAGAGTTACACACACATAACGATTAGCGTGAAGGTGCGCACACTTACCAGATTCCGTGTTTGCGTAAGCCAGAATGGAATGAATCCCGCATCTAATGGTGCAACAACCGCAAACGTGAACCACGTGGCCAGTCAGTGTAGCGAAAGTAAATATAAATGGATTAACGGCATTCGTAGACTACAAATGTAAGGTTTGGAAAGGAGAAGCACCGGTGGCACAGAGACCATTGCACCACGTACCAAAAGACCCTTCGGTTTGAGGAGACGCAAGGTCGTGCAAAACCTGCTACTGCTGCAGCTTCACTCTTGTCCAGGTGCAACTCGCCATCCATGATGACAGCACGAAAAGGAAAGCAACCATGCAAAAGTTTGCGGCTCTTCTTAAACGGCAAGTCAAATGTTCTAATGGAATTACAGCCTTTTAGTTGTAGAGATCCATTAACGTCAATTCATTTAAAGTAAGCCAACAGGAGGACCTGCAGTGAGCACAGCACTCACCACCCATTTAGGCGACACTGAGTTGGTTGGACCACTTTCTATACGCATCCTAATATGTGGATTTCTTCATCACAGGACAGAGACAGAGAGAGGCACAGAGTTGGCACCACCAATTCGCCTTTATTGAGCCCTACACTAATAACAAAACATTGACATAAAACAATGGTAATCGTTATTGCCAATG